TCCTCTGGACCACCCCATAGAGATGGGTCTCGGGAATGTGCATTTCCCAGTCCTCTACTCGGCAGCCTAGACACTAAACTCAGAGGGAAGAAATGTGATTCATCAGTCAGGGTTGTGCAGCTGGTTAGTAGGCAAGTGAGAACGAGAATTGGGATTTCCCAACTCCCAGTCACACCTCAGGGCTTCCTTCTACGTCTGACATGAAGTCTACTTTGTTAGCATCACTGTCTTGCTGTGCTGGGGATCTCTGCTCTAGTGGAAACTTAAATAGGCCTTCTCTCCTCTTTATCACAGAGATGGAATTCTTTAAGGGATTAAGCACAGATACATGAACTCTCACCCATAGGATGCCACGAACAATAGGAATCCATAGTGGGAACTTCAGATGGCACCTGAGAAGTTACATCCACATGGCAAACATAGGTAAGGTGAAGTCAGGGTGGAAGTTCATGGTATAAACTCTGCAGTGGCACCTAATCCATTTGTTTTTTCTACAGGATTACAATGTCCTGAGGGGTGAAAGATAGTCTTATTCCTGTATTGTCAGCACAGTGCTGGCCACTTAGTAGATATCAGCGAGTGGCTTGTAGAGTGAATATGATAACATAAAAAAATATGAACTTTTTCATATACATAGGCCTACTATCAGTAGGAGGTAATAATAGCCATGATGATGATGATGTTAGTAATACTAGAACAGCAGCAGGGAACTAACATTATTGAGTGCTTTCTGTGAGCCAGACACCACACAGGCTCAGCTCTTTATTACACGCAATATCTTAATGAATCCCCACAACAATCCCAGGAAGTAGTGACTACTGTCATCCCAGTTATACAGGTGAGATAGTGGAGGCACAAAGGCTTCGAGTGATAATGCCCAAGGCCACCAGCTGAAAAGTAATAGAGCCAGAATTCTAACCCAAACCAGATGGACTCAATGTTCACACTCTCTACTGCTCTACTCTCCAGTCTCCAAAACCTCTGCACATTTAGAGCACCAAGGGTGGGTTTATGCCCTCCCACCCAGTCTGAAAAGGTAGACTTGCATGGTAGTTACCCAGGGTTGAAGGCACAGGCTGATGAGATGAAACCAAGTAGCCAGTGCCTGCAGGCTCACAGGGAGCTCACCTGAAGACCAGGTGCCATTAGCACTGGGTAAACACCCAGTAGCCTAGCACTATGGCCAGCAAAGAGTCTGTGTTCAAAAAGCATCTACTGAATAAACTGATGAAGAAATGAATGAGTGAACAAATCAACAAGTGGGCTAATTATGCACACGATGACCACCTAATTTTCATTTCTGCCTTTAAACCTAGGGCAAGAACCTCTTTTCCCCACATATACTTCCCTGTCTCTCTTCTCAGTTTTTGTTTTCAGCTGATGTCTGAAAGTGCATATTTTACAGTTTAAAAGTCTCCTGGGGCTAGGGCTGGTCCCAACACGTGCCTGCTTTGCGGTTCACATTGAACATGTTGAAAACTAAACTTGTCATCAGTCCTGAAC